TGGTTGTGCATTCAAGGCTCACGAGCAAACACAAACAATTAAGACACTCAATCACAAACAATTACAAGGAAATCAAAAGACAAAAATAAACAAAATGTATGAAAAGCACACCCAAGGCCAAATGTTGGCCGAACCAGTCGCGCCCGGGCGCGACCTGCTAGGGGCGCCTGGGCGCGACTTCTGCAGAAAAATTCTGCAGAATTGTCCTTCTTCATTACCTGTTTTTGTGAGTTTTTAAGGGTTTTCTGAAATCAAACCAATATGCCAGCAATTCAATTAAACACACGAACCAAAACAAAGCAATTAAAGCACAGATGAAACAGAGAAAATGGAAAAACTATTGAAGATCAAAGCATGGCCATAATTTTGGCCGAGCCAGTCGCGCCTGGGCGCGACTTGCTAGGGGCGCCCGGGCGCGAGTTTCTGCAGAGTGCAGAACTCAATGGCAGTGGGTTTTTCCAGTTTTTCAATCATCAATCAAGCATTCAAGCGGTTCAATTGTAAAATCCTAGTCTAATTCAAACAACAATCAACAAATGAAAGCAAAGGATATTCAAAACAAGCAAAAGAAAACACAACCTACTTGATTTGGAGAATTGAATTTGAATTTGAATTTGGGGATCTTGAGAGGGTTGAGAGCTTGACCGTGATTACCCAAAGAAAATGGATGTTTGGTGAAGAGAATAAGTGGGTGTGAGAGTTCACAATGGAAGTGATAAAGTTGAGTGGATGGGTTGAGTTGGGAATAGGTTTACTAAGTGAGAGAGTTCACAATGGTGAGTGGGAATGTTGTTGATTGGTGGTAGTTTGTGTGGCTTAGATGGAAGGGTATGGTGGTTTTTGGGGTTTTTGAGAGAGTAGGCACGAGAGAGAGGGAGAGAAGGCTGGAAATTAGGGTTTGAAAATGAGGGAAAATCTGACCTGTGCACTTAAAATCAGAACATATTGGGCCTGCACATGTCGCGCCCGGGCGCCCCTTTTCTCGCGCCCGGGCGCGACCAGCACACTGATGACTCGCGCCTGGGCGCGCCTGGTCAGGGGGGCTTGGGCGTGAATTCTGCAGAATTTCAGCAGACTGCAGAATGGCTCAACTCACAGTACCATTTTTTGATTTTTGCATTCTCTTGCTCTCAAAACACCCCAGAACACCTTATTTTTATCAAACACGTTTGCTTAAATCTTCAAGAAGAGAAATTCACTTGAAGAATCAATTTGAAGGTGTTCAGTTTCACAAATTTTCAACATTCTCCAAAACAAGCAAATTGGAATTCAAAACACAACACAATCACACTATTCACAGCTCAAGCTACACAACACACTAACATGCTTTCACACAGATAAAATTTAACAAGCTCTAAAACACAAACAAACAATCAACAACACACACAAATACCACAAAATCACTGAAAAAAGGTTAGAAAGCTGGGTTGCCTCCCAGTAAGCGCTTGTTTAACGTCATTAGCTTGACACACTGATGCTCATGGATCTGAGAGGTGAATGATTGTTGTGAGACGCTGAATCTCACCGCCTAGGTACTGTTTCAGCCTCTGTCCATTTACCACCCAACTTTTGTTTGGATCATCTGCTGCAGGGTTAACCAACTCAATAGCCCCATGGGGCTTTACCTCCTTTATGATGAACGGTCCAGACCACTTTGATTTCAGTTTGCCTTGAAGAATCTTGAATCTGGAATTAAAGAGTAAAACTTGTTGGCCAGGTTGAAACTCTCTCTTTAAGAGCTTTTTGTCATGATACAACTTAACCTTCTCTTTGTAATTCTTGGAGTTATCATAAGCTGTCAATCTCATTTCCTCCAACTCCTGTAATTGCAACTTTCTCTTTTC